TCTCTTTCTTTCTTTTTTTTTCTTTTTTTTTTTTTTTTAAAGAGAGAGCAGCCCCTTCTATTCTGGGGGGCATCAGTCCGGTTGCTCATCACCGGCAAGCCTGGAAAACAAAGTACAATTTGGTTTGAAAGAGAAGAGGAAAGCCTTGCCCTTGCGGCCCTAGACGCCTTTCAAAGGGGGGATTGCTACAACCAAAACCCACTTCCCATACCATAGCCTCCCCAGRGATACCTCTGTTGGTCGGGAAGCTTCCTAGCAGCACCCAGCCGCGCAACAGATGGGTCCCCAGGGAAGGCCTGGCTCGGGGGGGCTGTTCTAGCAATCTTGCGGGCCTCACATCCTGTTAAAACCCTTCCTCAGTTCCCCCATCAAAATCCTCTGGCTGCCATCTAGTATTTACAGCACTCACCCTCATGCCACCCTCCAGTCTCTAGTAAGCACTCCTTTGTGCAGCCTACCCCGAGTATCTCTTATATTCTCAAGTCTCATCTACATCTTAAACCTATCACCTTTGTCTTTAATATCTACCGTACTGGTATGTTTGCAAAAAAAACAAAGATCACCCTTGCCTTATTTGCCCGCCCTCTAATTCACAACCCATTCTGAGGGCAGTAGGTTTCTCTTATTTCATCATGGAAAAAAACCTTGCTGAGCACCTAAGGCCAAAATAGGCCCCTTATTCCAGTTATACAAAAAACCTTCCTAAACGCCTGAAGCCAAGTAGGCCATCCATATTCTGATCTATTTGAATCTTGTCCCCAGCAGTATATTCAGCAGTATATTCAGCACTCAAATATAACCCATGTCCCTTCCTCTACCACCCCTTTTTTCATTTTTCAGTTTTAGCTTGCCCTCCTATTCCCCCACTAACCCCTACCGTCTACCTTCCTCTCTCTACTCCCATATCCTCCCATTCTCTTACGACCTATCTACCCAATCCCCAATCTATTCTATAGACTGACTGCTGCTTGTGGCCTCCTTTTCCAAACCGGGCACATAGTGTTGCAGGACTGGTCCAAACTGCAACTGTCCTGTAGTAGGGTCTTGCGCCAGCATCTGCGGGAACAGGGCCCGTTTCTGCCAAAAGCCTGCCACCTTGGCCTCCCCTATGCGTCTACTTCGGTGCAGATCCGCCAGTATAGCAATGCGAATATTCTCCAGTGCCCTCTCCTTATAGGCCCGAAGTGGCGGGGACGTTCCTTGCCTACATCTTTCATTTCTCAATGTCCACAGAGCCCATAACACCGCCGCCCTTACGATCTCTTCCACCACCATTTCAGCCATGCCCCGTCTACTTGCCTTGACCAGGGTACCCAGCAGGATATCTGCGTCGGTCGTTTCATCCGCCTGTAGCGGTGTCTTATCTGCCATTTCCTGTGCCCACCACTCCCAAAACTCCTGCACCCTTGGACATCGAACAAAAAGGTGGGGGACCGTTTCAACCTGGCCGCAGGCTGCAGCACAAGTTTGGTCCTTATGACAATTCTTGGTAGCCTGCCACTGCGCAGTCGGGATTGCCAAATGGTAAATCTGCCATAGCAGGCCCGCCTGCTTCTGGTCTGGCAAGGCAGCCATGATGTTGCATTGTTCATTCCACCTTCGTTGAGTCCAATTAGTAAGGCGCGCGTCCGGGAGCCACTCCCGTTTAACCCACCTCTCCTTCAGTTCCCCACAGATGTTCACCGGTTCCAGCAGCGAGTTGTAAACAATCTTCGTGGTCACCTCTTGGAGTGGCATCGATCTCCTGTGCATCCTCTGGGGAGGCCATTCACAGTCTCCCGGGTTCCAGACAAGGTCCCTCAGCCGGGTTGCAGTGCAAAAGGGTAGGTAGTGTCCAGCCTCTTTCTTCCCTCCTTCGCATACCGCAACCGTTTCCACCAAAGCTCGTGCTATTTTCCTCACGGAGTGCAAGTCCTGCAGTGGTTTCCCCAGCCCCTCCCATCCCCGTCCCGGCCTATCCTGCCATACAGTGGCCTCCAGGTCCCCATTCGGCATTACCTGCTTGACTCTATAGAGCCTTTCAGGTGCCTCACTCCCCTTAAGCTTAACCCACTGGCCGACTGCTATCTCGTCTTTTTTTAATACTTCCACCCACCGAGTCGGAATAGCCTCTCTCATGTCCTTAACCCTTTGGCCCATTCATGCGCCCCTGCAGGGCCAGATCCATTTCCTCATCTGTACGCCAGTCCTTCCGATCCTCATCCCACAAGTGTCCCACCTTGAAAATGCCCTGCTCCGCCCATTTCCATCCATAGGCCCCTTGCGCCCCCTGCCATGGGTAGGGGTCCCCTGCCTCGTCACAAATGGAACGGTTATCAAAGAGCAGCTGGTTAAAGATAGCATCCGCTGTTTCAGGGAGCCAACATCTCACCGGAATCTTCTTCCACAAGGCCAGTTTTTGAGTCCACACAGTCCCCCTACGAATATGCCCCATCGCGGAGCTACTGAACAAGCAAAGGTCTACCAGTTCCCTAGGGACCTGGAGAGCATAAGCAAGATGAGACAGCGTCACCTCCTGCCAAGTTGCCCCCTCCGAGCGCAAAAGGGACCAGATGAGCTGGCGCAATTGGAGTGCAATTATCTGTAAGCACGGGTCCAGCAGGCCCAGCCCTCCAAACCTTCTTGGTTGGATAAGCTTACACCAGGCAACTCTGCATATGGAATTCTCTGACCTCGCGTTATTTGACCACAGATGCGCTTGGACCGCCCTCCTAATGTACCGGAAGGTACGCCTCCCCGACATATGAATTGCACCCGCGTACCACAGGGTGGCCAGCACCGAGTTCTTAATCACTATAGCCTTTCCAAAAGGCCCCATGCTCCATCTCGCACTCCATGCTTGCAGTCTTGCCACCGCCGCTGTGGCCCGTATCGCCATCTGCTCAATTCCACCATAGCTCGGTGTTAAATTGGCCCCTAAAAATGTCATTCGCTCTCCTTCGGCCACTGTGGAAATGTCCCACCCTTCTGGAGGGTCCATCACCAGAGGCAGAATGACCCTAGACTTCTGCCAATTCACCCGTCCGCCTGAGTACCTGCAGAAAATTGCCAGGTCCTCTTTAAGAATGCCCAGCTGCTGAGCCGTTGGAACGATTGTTGCACCTGTGTCGTTCGCAAAGGCTGTAGATTGCAGTTCCGCTCTTGGTCCCGCCTTGAGACTGATGAGGCGGCTGTCAGCCCGCAATATCTCGTGCATTGACTCAATGTAGATGACATAGAGGGCAGGAGAGAGCGGTCAGCCCTGCCTCACCGACCGAGTCACACGCAACCTATCCGATCTCACCCCGTTAACTTGCATCACGGTCGAGGCTCCATTTAGCAGGCCACGAATCCAACTGCACAGGATAGGCCCAACTCCCCTTCTCGCCATACTTTGCAGTAGAAATTACCATCTGACCCGATCATAGGCCTTCTCAAGATCTATTGACACAAAAGCCAGTGCCTGACCTGTGCATTGCTCCTCCTCCAGTATCTGCTGTGCTAATAAAATGTTCGACAAGATTTGGCGACCCACCACGAACCCGGTCTGAGTGGAGTCGATGATACTTGGGAGGACTTCCTTCAACCGGTTTGCCAAGACTTTGGCAAGTATTTTATATAGCGCATTCAGGATGGAAATCGGGCGCCAGTTCCACACGTCCTCCTTGGCTCCCTTTTTGAAGAGTAAAGCCACATACGCATCCACAAAACCTTGAGGAAGGGTGCCTCCCTTCAGAGCCTCGTTGTAGGCTGTTGTCAGCAGAACTCCAAAGAAGTTGCGGAGTTCCTTATAGAGTTCCGCTGGTATTCCATCCAAGCCAGGCGTTTTGAGCCTAGGGAGCTCTGCAATCGCTCTTACCACTTCCTCTACCGTGATGTCCTCTTCCAGCTTACAGGTTTCTGCAAGATTGAGGCGGCTCTGGACATGGCTCCAAATATCCTGCTCTGGTTCACCGGCCATCTCCTCGGGAGTCCACTGCTCCTCCTCCGTGAGCAGTTGGCGATAGAAATCGGTAACACACTTCAAAATTCCCCGAGTAGTACACTGTTGCCCCATCTGGCCATCAAAAGGGTGATCCATGGCTGTCATTATTGGTGCTGCCTTTTTCGTCGCCACTGTAGCAAAGAACTGTTGTGACATTCGTTCCCCCAATGTGATCCATGTCTCCTTGGTGCGTCTGCCCCATTTAACAGCTTCCTCTGCCTGCCACTCCCTCCATCCTCGTGCTACCTCCACTCTCTCTGCCCACCACTCTTCCTCCATCTGGCCCTCCTCAGGGCCTTTGTCCAATTCCTCCATCCTTTGGGCGTACTCCTCCCCTGTCTTCTTGTGCGCCAGGTAGTTTCCCCGCAGTAACTTCTGCAAGATGTGCCGCAATCTCTGCACTGCTACCTGCGGGTGCAGTGATCTATACGAGTCTGTACATCCCAGGCTTGTCATACCGTTGACCAGGGCCATAGAGTCTGCCTCCCCCTGCCATATAGTTGCTGCATCTCGTTCCGGATCAACGAGCGAGTGAAAATCTCCTGCTATTATGAGATTGTCGATGTCCGGAACTAAAGTTTGCAGGCGCTCCCACATCCTGCGCCTTGTGCCCAATTCTGACGGCCTGTAGATGGTAACTACCCCCCAAGTCGTTTCCCCCCACTTAATCACCACCCAGGCCCACCTTCCCCTAGAGTCATAAAACCAGTCTATAACTAGACCCCTCCCCTAGTGCCCTGCGCCGGGGCCCAAATCTGGTGGCCCTTCCACCATAACACCGGCTCCACCATTCTAGCTTCATTCAGCTTGGTCTCTTGTAGGCACACGACATCAATCTGTTCATCTTTCACCTTCCTCACCAACTCCCTTCTCTTCGGCAGCAGTGATTGGGCCCCCAGGCCTCTCACGTTCCAGGTCAGCAGTTTCAGCCTATTGCAGTTTCTCTGCACTTGCATCCCCTTACCACTAAACCATACCCCTAGTACATCACTTACTACGTAAGAGTGGTACCTTCGTCTATTAATTGCTGGGGGGGCTGTCCTCATCCTTGCGACAACCATTCAAGATAAGTATATAGTATAGTACCTACCCTACCCTACTCTACCCTCTCACTCCCCCCGTTCCCAGATACCAGTTCCATTCTGGAACTGCACACCCCCCACTTGTTCAATCTGCGGCAGGCATGCATTAACGCTGTTGAGCAGAGCCAGGGATGTTGTATGAACCAGATGGTAGTCCTGCGAGAGGTCCGCAGGGCCATAGGCTTCGGCGAACCGTATCCAGTGCATGCCTGCCGATCCTAGCCTCGGAACTCCCGGTCTCTTAGGGATGTCCTCCACAAAGAAGACAAAGATGACATACTCATCCCCCTCCGCAGTCTCCCTCACAAATCGTGATGCTGATATCTGAGGCAGCATCACCACTTCGTATCTTGTACCCAGCCACTCAGCCACCTTCTTGAGCACCTGCTGTTCCCGAGGTGGGTGGGCTACTCCAAAAGTTGGTACATCCGTTGCCCCCTCCAGGAGCCGCCTTTATTTCCTCTGGCGCCCGCCATAGGACAATCGGGCAGACATAGCCCTCTCCAGCCCTAAGTATGTCAGCCAACCTGGCCCCCACTCGCTCCTGCCGTGCCAGGCCTTCCAGCTGACTCTCAGGCTGCTGGCGCTGCTGACTTTCCTGCTCCTGCGTGCTTCGGTCCTCAGCTCTTGCCGACTCCGCTGGTATGGCCCCCTCTTCCGATCCCTGCCCCTGCGAAGTATGATGTTCTTCTTCTGCTGATCGCTCCTGTTGCTGTTGGTTGCAGACCCCTGATCCCCTCCCTCTGCTGAGCACTCCTGCTGCTGCTGGCTTGCAGACTGATGAGCGGACTGTTGGTCATCCCCCGAGCTATCCGATGTCTCTGTAGTAGAGGATTCCGACGAGCTGTCATCTTCTTGGCAGCTTGACTGATCGCCCACCCCCTCGGCCGGGAGGCCAAAGCTTGGTTCCTTGAGGGGGACCGATCCCGAAGGCAGTGGCGACTCGTTCCTTTTCCCCTTCCCTCGCAGCGAATACCTTGGTTCATACCCCTTGGTTCCCAAGGGGGATCGCTGCCTCTCTCTTGTACACTTCGGCCTTTTGTGAGGTTTGCGATGAAGCCTGCCGTCCCGAGGTCGCCTGGCCCATAGTTTTCCCCTGCGTCGATGCTGCCCTGCCGGAAGAGAAGGTCGGAACCAGAAAGCATTCCGCTGATGAGGATTTCTTCTCTGGTCCTGCGGTCACTTGCTTGCGCCTTCGCCAATATTTTATCGGTGAGTGGGGGACCTGATCAGCTATGATTGGTGTTTCATACACCGGCCTGCCCGGTTGCTGCTGCGTGCCCAACTCCCCCACGCTGTCCTGTTCCCCTCGCCTTTCAACCTGCCCCTGCCCTTGTCCTTCCTGCCTTTCCTGCCTATCGTCCGACTGTGCTTCTTTCCTCCTCTCGCTTTGTCCCCCTTGGCCCTCAGACAGCCCAGCCCTCCCCCCTTCTTCTCCCCCATCAGCGTTCTTCTCGGACGAAGTAGCTTGGTCCCCCCGCTGCCCTTGTGTTCCCTGAGTGATCGTTCCATCCTGCCCTCCTTTCTGCTGACTGGTCTCTCCCCTTTCTCCGGCCACCCGCGTCCCTTCTGAGCACTGCGCCTGCCCTCCCTCCCCGGCCTCCTTACCTGACTTGACTGACGAAGCCTCAGCATCCCTCTCTCTTTGGTCCCCTCCTATCCCTTGCTCTTGTCGTGAGCTTCCCGTTTTGGAGCCTTTCTCTTGTTCCGGCCCCTGCTCTGCCTTCCTTTTCCGGTCTTCGCCGAAAAGCCAGTGTGGGTCGTCAGTCTGCATGGGATCGTCTCCCCTCCCCTCCCACGGTACATTCCGGCGGTACCTTCCTCTTCCCTTGGCAGGCTTCCTCCGCCTTCCTTCGTGGCAGACCTGGCTTGCAGCCTCCTTCCGCAGGGCGTCATCCACCTGGAGCTCCAGCTCATGCCAGGCCCTCCTTTCTTCTTGAGGATTCGACTGCAAGATCGGGTCCATAGTACTTCTCACCTCCCTTTCATGCAACTCCTGCAGTGTCTCAGCCGGCATCAAGCATCTTCCATGGAGCCCCATATGGCCGTGTGTGAAGCATACTTCACAAAAGGGTGTCTCACTCGTTACTACTCTCACCTCTTCGAAGCTGTAAGGCCAAATAGCCACCGCCACGCTGCTCTTCAGCGGGTTCTTCAGCGGGCCATCCAGCACATACCTCACGTACTCTCTTTGCTCATCATCCACCCGCTGTTCGCTAACTATTGGACCAAAAAAGTGCTCGACTGCCCCTCTCGCCCATTTCGCTGCCAGTAGTGAGGGTTTGAAGACTTTCACCCATGGCCGTCGTTTGCGCTCGCGCATTCTGGCCGCGTTCATTTCCGCTGGCAGCTTCCATGGTTGATATGTCACTTGGCCATGCACTTCTGCCACATGTACCTCGTCCCCCATTCTTTCTTCAATAAGCGAGTCCCTCAACTCAACCGTCGGCGCTAAGTACGCAACAGTCAATTCCCCCTCTGTATCAATCTCGCCTCGCCACGGGCCTCTCCCCAACGTCCATGCCTCCTCCATGTGGCCAACCCATTCCCGCTTGGCCTTCCGTGACCAGCCTGCTGTTCCTTCCGGCATCTTACACGCCACTGTGTGCGCCCGCACGTAGGTATTTTGCAAGTACATAATTTCGTTCGTTGGCCGCGCCAAACATACTCCTCCCTGTATTTCGTACTCAATCAGTCCCGGCCCTTCCATTGGTTGGGGCAACAAATATGAGCGCCTCAGCATCTGCATGAGGCGCCATCGCTCTTGTGCCATCCCTTCCATTCTCTCCCCCTAAAGCTTCTCCCGCCGCTTGTATCTAACAATCCCAACGTAAGCCCTTGGTATTGTATCTCGATCTGCCTCCCCCTTCCCCCAACGTTCACCCTCTAACAGCTTATCTTCCTATCTTATTCCTTGAAAAGATTCGCTATTCAACCACTAGCTGACGTCCTCTCCCACGCTTGCCGGCAACAGCTTGTGTCGAACGCTGTCAAGGACCTCCTCGCCTTTTCGCCAGGTCAGCCAGACTATTTCATATACTGTTTTTTATTTTTTTTCGATTGATGGATAGATTGATTGATTGATTGATTGATTGATTGATAAAAAGATTCATTGATTCATTGATTGATTGACTGCATGATGATGAAAAGATTTGTCGACAGATTGATTGATTCATTGATACATAGAATGAATGCTTGATTGATTGCTTGGTTGGTTGGTTTCTTTCATACACGGCGAGGTTGATTGATTCATTGAAAGTCAGACGGGCGAGGTTGATTGATTCATGGACACCAACCCGGCGGGCCAATGCAAACACAGCAAACACTCGGAGCCTGGATGATCCTGGGTGTGCCCAACTGAAAAGGGCCCAGGCCCTCAACTGTAGACATGGACCTGGGTGCAGACACTGGGGCCCGACCAGAAGCTACTGGAAACTTCCTCGGTCAGGCCCAGACAGTCCAGCTGTAGGCAGTGACTCCCATATAGGGAGGAGGCCAGCCAGTGTGAAGCATTCCGGCCTAGGCAGGCAATGCGGACACGCTGCTGCATCAGAGCGCAAGTTTCTGCGTGCGCTTTGCTGGCAGGGGCGCTGCAGGGCAGTGGGGGCCCCAAGCGGCCATAGCCGGGCTGCAGGGGCGCAGGCAGGTGATGAGGCGACAGTGGTCTTCAGGAAGGAGGCCCAGGTGTGGGTGGACAAAGTCAGATGAGGGGAGGCGAGAGAACGTACCTGGTGTATGTGGGTGGTTGGCATTTGTGTTGACGTCATGTACATTGGTGTTCGTCGTTGAAGTGAGCCTGTTGCACGAATGTGGATAGGCTAGATAGGATGAGCAGAGTAGGCTGGGCGCTGGGTGCCAGACAGTAGGAGCGACATTGAATACTGCATTGGTGTGGCCTGAGGGCTTGGACATTGGCTCACGAGTTCATTGTATCGCTCTTATTTGGATGGAATCTTGGTGCATTTGAGCTCTCTGCTTGATACATGACTATCTGGACTTCTGCGTGATTTCGCAACTTGGTTTTCTGTTTATCGCTCTCACTCATATTCCTTGCAATACTTGGTTTCCATCTCGAGCCAAATCTGGGTAATGGCCCCAGCTCTGTCCGGGTTGAGATGTTGAGGAATTCCCGGCCTCATGGATTCTTAATAATTTTTTATATAATAAAACTGCAACTGTTTTTGGAAAAAAAAACAAAAAAAAACAGATGTGTACTGGACAGAACGACGTAAAGAGAGGAATGGGGTAACAAGTAGGGGCATGGGTTAATGAAATTCTTGTTCCTCTCCTCTATCATATTCTTCTCTCGTCCTCCATCATCTTGCTTACTGGGTTTCCTTTGTGAACTGCATGCGTGTGAACACTGTAAAGTTTTAGGATGGTGAGCATTGAGGATCGGGTTCATTCCACTAATTCTTGATGTTTCTGTGGGATCAAAATTGCAGATGTGCTGAACATAAAAGTCGGGGAGTTGGTCACAGGCCTAAATGTGACCGATCGGCAAGGGACATATCTGTCCTTCGATGTTCCTCAATATACCAGTGCAATTTGGGTGTTCGTGAACCGGACATACACATCCACAGTCTCGCAGGTAAACTGCAGTACATCACGCACTGCCCAGGCTATGTTTTTTTTTTTTTTTTTTTTTTTTTTTTTTTTTTTTTTTTTTTTTTTTTTTTTTTTTTTTTCAGGCCAACTCTGACTAACTGACCTCGGTCAGTCACCTCTCATTCTTTTTTTCGTTCTTTTTTCTTTTTTTTTTTTAGTAATAACTAATTTGCCAATTTGGTCCATATCTCAATTTATGTGTGTCATCCTTGTGCAGGGGCCATGCTAATCTTCATTCTCTGTATCATAAATACTATCATTCCAATTTTAACGGATCTCCCAAAGGATAGCCAGCTCTCATGCATTATGTACCCACTCACGCTCCTCCCCCTCATGGTGTGGAGGCCCGAAGGACAGCATTGATTACCTCGCGAAGGAGGGATATACCACCCTTCACCCCTGCCTGAGTTAGCCTGTTTGACTAGGATTTTGCTTTTATCCTATGCTTGGTGCTAAAAAAACCTGAGTTTTCACTAACTGTCTCTTATCTATGACCTGTCCCTGTTGATCGTTTCTATGCTATACCTGAAGAGTATATTTGAGATGGTTGCTGGGGTTCGTCTGAACTCTTAAGTGATAATGGGAGGGGGGGTGTTTGTGGGCTTTTGGAGGTTTGCCTTAAAGGGTAGGTGATGAGGGTTTGGGGTGGGAGATTTTGGAGGCTTTGGGTCGGCCCCAAGTGGTCTTCCCTTTATATTTGGGGGTGTTGGGATAATGGGAGGGTTGCTGGGAATAAGGCTAGTAAAGGGGAAGATAATTCTGGGAGGAATGGTAGGGGTGGGGAGAGGTTGGGGTGGAGGGGTGTGTTATTTGGTTTGAATTTTCTCAGCAATTCATAGGTTATAGAGTAGGTGTGGATGTAGTTAGTGTGTGGGAGGACTGGGGTGTGGAGGTTGCTGTTTTAATGGTGGTTGGGTAATGTGTGGTTGTTATTAAATCAGTATTGGTTGTGATATGGATGGTGGTCTTTAGGCTGGATTAGTTTGTATATTTATCCAATTTTTTAGGGTTAGTCTATCATTATTTATTGTGCCTAATTGTCCTTTTCCTAATTTGAGAGAGATGAACTTTTTGATTGTTTCCACCTTTTTATCTGGGTCGGTAGGAAGTTGGTTGAGTTGTTTTTTCCAAAGGGTATGGATTTCCGTGTCTATTAGCTGTTTTATGACCATGATTGGATTCTCTGGTGGAGTGAGACGATCATCAAGAGTGTATTCGCATCTGTTTCTCCATATGGTCCAGAAAGTGCTTTTTTTAATGAGTGATGCGAGAAAGGCTTCGAAACCCTTGAGTGTAAGGGCTTGATCGAATTCTAGGAATAGTGTAGCGGGGTTGATTAAAAGAGGTAGGTTTGTGATCTTGTTCCAAAGAATTTCGATTGTATGCCAGATAGATCTGGCTTTTGGGCATTCTATGAAGCAGTGGTTTAGGGTTTCTATGGATTGGGTGTTACAGACTTTGCACCAGGAATCTTGCTCCGATCTGTTTTCTTGGTTGCGTCTGCGTGCCAGCCATTGGTTAACTGGCACTGCTCTGAAAACTAATAGCCATCTTAGGCTGGCTATTTTGACCGGTCTTGTGGTGAAGATTGAGGTCCAGGGAGGTTTGGAGATGGTGTTAGTTAGTTGTGGTTCCTCTTTTGTCCACCTTTTGTAGATGGTGTTAGATATGGATATAGGTTTTGTGAAGAGACAGTATCCTAATTTTGGTGTGTAGTCGGTCAGTTTGATGAGGTTTGAGGTAGGGGTTAGGTTGTCTGGGGTTTTCCATGTCCATTCGAACGGGTCGATCTCTAGGTTTTGTACGCTTAGTTGGGGTTTGTAGACTCTGTTTATTTCTCCTTCTATAATTCTGATTCTTCTCAAATTTCTGATTCTAAAGGATCCTTCTGCTCTACTTTTTAAATTGATTTGACTTACTGGGTTTCCTGGTTCATCCAAGGTGAAGATGTCACAGCAGATCCAGTTATTGTCACGAGTTTCATAGTTCTTAAAGGCTAGGACCTCTAGTACCGTTGATGAGTCATTTGTGGTAGCCCAATCCTTGTCCTGCCATTTTTGTTCCGATCTTAGCAGGTGTCTCCAGTGCAAGGGGGTGCAATCGACAATTTGGTTAATGTTTGTTTGTAGGTGGTGTACTCCTTTTAGTTTGGTTCTTAGGTCGCTTTCTGATTTCCATTTTTTTTTTGTCCCGTCCCATAAATGTTCGATGCGCCATATTCCTTTTTCTAGCCAGTGACCCCATTTGGAATCTGATTTTGAGAGTGTGAGGCTTTCACCTTTCTCATTTTTTATCAGTGGGTTGTCGAAAAGGGGTTGTCTGAGGACTTCATCTTTCTTTTTGGGTCCCGATCTAATTTCTGGAAAAATGATTCTCCAGATGCGTAAGATTTGTTCCCAGAAAGATCTTGTTTGAGTTATTTCGTTGGAGTTGACTTGCGCTGATGTGTCCGGCTGACTCTGTTTCCTTTTCAGGAGTGGCCAGTGTTTGTTGAAAACCAGAAGAGTCCTGACATATTATTAGGAGATTTGAAGGGTGTGATTCCTCTGATATGGCTGAGAGCTAGTGGGATCCAATGAAGGTTATCATGGAGGGTCAGTCTTAGGATCCACTTGATCTGAAGGGCTTGGATTTGGCGGGCTGGGTCTATGAGGCCTAGGCCTCCTTTGCTTTTTGGGCATGTGATTATATGTCAGGCTACCTTATGAATGAAATGTTGTTTGTCAGGGTTGCCTGTCCAAAGGAAAGCCGCTGTTTTTTTCCTCAGTGGATTGTGGAAATCGGAAGATGGGAACCAAATGGAAGTGGCATACCACATCATGGCTAGAATTGAGTTGTTAAGGGCTAAAACTCTTCGTAGGAGAGAAGTGTGTATGGATTTTCACGTGTGCATTCTGTTGATCATTGCTGACAGTAGGGATGCAGCCGAAGTTTGGTGGCAACCTTTTAGACTGAGATTAATTCCTAGGAAGCGTATTGGCGAGTCTGGATTTGCCCATTGCATTCCTTGAGGAGTTAATTCAGTGGGGGGGGGAGAATCTGTTGTCCACCAGCCAACAATTTTAGCCCAATTTACTTTCATTTCTGAGGCTAGTTGGAAGGCTTGCATTGCTCTTGTCAGTGCTTGAAAGGAGTAGTTTGATGCCCTTATGAGTACTGTGAGATCGTCGGCGAATAAGTTTGACCAACACTTTTTCATGACCCGGGGACCAATTCCTCGAGTAAGTGCTTCGAATTCTTCTAGGCAAGTCTTTGGGGTTACTATAGGAGGGTGGTTGGGATGTGTAAGGGGTTTCCTCTTTCGTCTTTGATGTTATTTATTCTCTCTATGGATATGTAATTTCTTAAGAATGCGGCAATGGCCTCCATAACGAAAAGAAAGATGGGTGTTGCTAGGGGATCTCCTTGTCTTACTAATCTAGACATTGGGTAAGGATTTGAGAGGAAGCCATTAATCTGTACTAGCCCTTGAGCGTCGTTGTAGAGGATTCTTGCCCATTTTCGGAATGTTGGTCCTACCCCCGTCTTTTCCATGCTGGCCTGGAGAAAATCCCAGTTCACTTTATCGAACGCTTTTTCGAAATCGAAGAAGAGAATGGCTGCTGCAATCTTCTTTTGGTTGATTATCTTGGTAGATTCGTAGAGTGTCATTACATTGTCCAATATGAGTCTTCTTGGGATAAATCCTGTTTGGTCTAGATGGAAGCAGCCTCCTGTGATTCGGTTTATTCTTGTGGCAAGTAGTATTGTACGCTACATTAAGTAGGGAGATGGGTCTGTAGTTCTTTATGTCTTCTCTGTTTCCTTTTTTGTATAGCAGTGTTATTACTCCTGTGCTGAGTTCTGGGCCCAGGGATTCCTCCTCCCAGACTCTGTTGAGGAATCTGAGTAGAAGCGGGCCTAGGATGTGCCAACCTGCCATCCAAAATTCTTTAGAGAGACCGTCTCTACCGGGTGCTTTGTTAGGCTTGAGGTCTTTAAGCGCTATGAGTAGTTCTTCTAGTGATATGGGTTCTTCTAGTTTACTGGCTGCTTCTGATGAAAGGGAATGATCCAGGTGAGATAGGAATTTAGCTCTTGCTCTATTTGTTGCATTGTTACCTCCTGTCAGGGTTTTGGAAGTGTAAAGTTCTTTGTAAAAATTGGTGGCTATGTTGACTAGTTTTGTTGTTTCTGTGGACGGGTTTCAGTCTTCATCTATTAGACATTCTATTTTAGAGTTCCTGGAGTTGGCCTTGATCCTTTGGAAGAAAAATTTGGACATTTTTTCGTTCAGTTCCCAGTCTTTGACTCTTGCCCTTAGTTGGAGGCCTTTGAGTCTTAGCTTGGTCCATTCTGATAGTTCTTCCTTGGCACTATTGAATAAATATGCATAAAATTCTGAGTTTGGGTGCTTTATGAGGTTGTATTCTGCTGTGTCCATTGCATTTCTTAGTGATTCTTCTCTTTCTTTTCTTTGAGTTGCTAGTCGTTTGGAGGCCTGGGATATTCTTTTACTAATATTCTTGATTATTTGTGGAAAAATGTAAAAGGGTCGTCATTTGGATGTAGTTGTGTTTGTGAGTGTAGTATTTTTTCAGTTCGGCTTGAAAGGATTGGTTGGAGAGGAGAGCATTGTTAAAGCGGTAGAAACTCTTACCTATGTAACCTTCTTTAATGAATCTAAAGGATAAGGAGATTGCTTTATGGTCGAGGCCTTTATGGTACGGGCTATTGTGTATGCAGCAATCTTGTATGACTCCTGTTAATGATTCTGAGATGAGGAAAAAGTCTATTCTTGAGAAAGATGTGCGGCCATGAGAGGTTTTTTTAGTGCAGGAATATTTCTTGAGAAACGGATGTAGTAGGCGGAATGGGTCTACCAAGTTCTTTCTGGTGATGAAGTCGTTTAAGTCTATGCTGTTGGATTGGAGTGCGGGGTCTTGGGAATGAGATATTTTATCTAAGTTATAGTTTTGTACAGAGTTCCAGTCTCCCATGATG